ACGTGCCTGCAAGTTGTACTGAACTCGGATCTGCTGGTTTTGCTGGGATGCCTGCCTGCAGGAGAGCTGCCTGCACAGCAGCCGAACCGCTCCCAAAACCCCTGCCCCTGTTTATCTTGTAATCCTTACCAGCTGAGCACTGCTGCAAATAATTTGTATAGCTAGTGTGTAATCGTGTCATCACCTGTACTGGAACCACCAGCCGGTGTGAGATTGTCAGAGGGTGCAATTCTTCTCTAAGCTTGGCTTAATTTCCAGCCTAATGCTAGGGGTGTTCCCCTTCACTTCTTCTGTCAGCGTTCATGCACAGAAGCTGCTCCCCTCCTGTCGGTCTCATCCAGTTTTGCAGACAAGTTATTAGTGCTGACGAACACCAGGGTGTCTGTGGAGCTGCTTTCAGAGAGTAATATTTATGATGTTGCATTGCCGTAAATACAGCTCTCAGTGGGAATGCTGGCGAGGTGAGGAGGCACCACAGTAGGATGTTCTTGGGCAGGATTGGGGCAAATTGGAGAAAAAATGCTGCTGCGTAATGTCACCTTCTGATATCAAAACAAAGTGCTGGTCAGAGAAGCCTGATCCCGCAGTTGGAAGCTAATGGGCAAACCCCACCTAAACCACGAAATTAAAAATGCAATTTCCATTTTCCCAGCAATTACTTATGAGTAATAAGTTACAGCATCGTGATGTCAGACTATTTAGGTGATGTTTGGCAAGCAAAATTTTGCGGAAATGCATCATTGTTTGTTATATTCAATAAACAGAATGGTTCTGGGGGAGAAGTTTTTAGATGGGCAGGACTTGGCGAGTCAACTGTAGCTGTTGAGATATGCTCAAGATATAATATGACTTGGGAAGTGAATGAAAAATGATAGTCATTGTTAAAGGTTTAAAGGCAGGACCAAATGTGCCTGGACCGTCCCTAGCAGACTTTGTGTCTGAGTCGTCCCTGGTTTTTCCAGCCTGCTCCAGTATTTCTCCTGCGTCATAGTTTAAGGGTCTTTCCTAGGACCTAACTCAGATCTTTCCTGCAATTTCTTTGTTTTCCCCATAGATTGGGAGCACAGCCAACCTGTCCCTCTGGAATGGTCCCGCATGTATCAGGAGACCTTTGTTCCCTCTTTCTTCTCTTTTTAAGCCAAACAAACTCAGTTCTTTCAGGCCTTGTTTTTTGAAAATACCTTTTTTGGGGGGGTATTTTATAAAAAAATTTAAAGCAACTAGTACCTAAGCCAGGACCCCAGCTGAGAGTGAAACAATTCCTTTTGGTGTGGCAGCACGACCGTTGTAGGTTCCCTATTCTGGAAAGACATTTCCCTGTTTTGCAGTATTGGTGCTGTGTCTTGGATTTATTAACCAGCTGATGATATTCCTCTCGTGTGCCTAGTGCTGTTCAGAAGGACTTTGGCTGTGCCTGAGCCTGCTCCCAGCGCTGGCTGGTAAGCAGCCCTGTTGCTCGCTGGCCCTGCAGTTGGGGAGGGCTATGGCTGGGTGAGAAGTGGATGTGGATGTTCTCCAAGCAGCTCCAGCTGAGGTAGAGGAGGTCTAATGTAAGTGTATGAAAGGCCACCACAGACCAAAGTCTGCCTAGGTGAGTCCCTGTCTCCGGCAGCTGCCAATAGCAAACGCTTTGAGTGTGAAAAACAGGGTGAGTGCTTCTCCTTCTCAGCCATGAGCCGGGTACGGGTTCTTGCCTTTTGGACTATGGTGTTTAAAATCCCCTGGCAGATCTCTATTCCATGACTTTATCTAGCCATCTTCTTTTCCTTTCCTCTAAACCGAATTTGAAGATAAGCATGACAAAGCACATGGTACTGCAGCGCTAGAGCTGTGACCACAGTGATGCAGGGGGAGCAGCGTGCGGTCCCTTGGTGGCCGGGCACTTCTGCCCTGCCTCTGCCGGGAGCCTGCCCTCGCAGCCGCAGGTACCCACACACGTTACGCACCTTCTCTGCCAGAGTTCACTCTCTCAGAGCCCGCTGCTCTCTCAGGAGTGACTTGGGGAGGGACTGGGGACATTTGGGGCGTTTCCTCGCCCATCCCCAGGGCCCAAAGTGAGCCCTTTTGGAGGAAGACTGCTGAACTCGCTCGCTGCCCGGTGCTGGTGGCTCACCGTTTCGGGAGGCTCCGTGGAGCGTAACCGCAGTGACTCAGCTCTCCGTCAGACATCCTGCGGGCTCCCCCCGCTTCCGGGGCCGGCAGGGGAACAAACGAGCAAACCCTAAAGACCAGCATGAAAATTCAGCTTGGAAAAGGGGCAGTGGGGTTTGGGATGAAGGAGACTTCTTGTTTCTTGCTGTGCTCAGTCCATCCTGGCAAACACCAGGGTGTCTGAGAGGCTGAAGAAGACCCTGATTCAAGGCAATACCATCCAGCCTAATAAGGGGTCGGATGCACTTGGTGGACTGAAGTCTTCCCTGGGAGAGCTGGTGCAATGCAGGATGGTGGTAATGGGGTCCAGACTATTAAAAATCACGGGCCGAGCAAACATGGCCCTGAAGCAGTACTCACTCCGACGTGCTGCTGCTCAGACCATGCCGTGCTCCATTGCTGCTGCTCGGGGTCCCCTCCCTGCCTGCCAGTACGGCTGCACTCACTCTTCACCTTTTCCATGCTTTCCCGCACCATTTGCACATTATTCTCTGCTCCCGTGGATAAGGAGGACATACATGTCTGGCTGGAGGTCAGCACTGACTCAGACTGGGAGCCAGGATTGCTCCTCCTGGGCTGCTGGTGCTCCCCATGTGTCCTGCTCCCGCCAGCCCCAAAGTTGCCTCCAGAAGGAAGGAGATGATAGATGGGGGTAAAATGGGTCTCTTTGCTGAGGCAGTGGATCTTCTCTGCTCTCAGCAACAATCCCCATGTCCCAGGTCACATCTCTTCTGGCCATCCCTTACTCTCCTACTCCAAAAAAGCCCTCATTTACCTTGTTTGCCTTTGCTGGCTCCACACTGTCTGCATGAATGCCTCTTCAGGGTGGCTAAAGGCCCTGATAAACCCAACACAGTCCTCTTCCTTCATGCCACAGTAGGGAAAAAACCCCCTTTTCTTCCACCCACGACCACGCTGGCCGGTGCTCGGCTTCTAATAGCATCCATGGAGCCCAGGGTCGGTGCCCCCAGCATGCCAGGAAAGCCTGTAGCAGGGAAGTTTGGCTTCTTCTGGGGTCTCCTCCATCACACCCCGTGCATCCTTCCTGCCGGTCCAGTGCTCCTGCTGTGCTCCCAGTGCTGCGGCGGAGCCGTGCCAGCGACGGGTGGGACGCTCACAGGAGTGCTGCTTTTCTCCTCGATACCCATCAATATTTGATGGCATGAACATTTAAAACTGCAGAGAGAAAGTGCACTCAGCCCCCCCAGATGGTTTGTACGTGACATCGCCCTTCTCCCGTGACACAAAGAGCTCCGACTCTGGGCCAAGGGCAGCACTGGGAATTTGGTCCTCGGACGCTCGGTACAGACAGCCCCTCCTGGCCACTGGCAGAAGATGAGCTCAGCTTCTTTATGGAGCAGATTCACACAGAAAAGCAGATTTGCTTTAACTTTTATGCTTCTTTTTTGTCCTGGTCAGTAGAAGACTAATAAGTTTTTCTATAGCTAAAAAGCTCTACGTTTTTCCTCTGTGCAGTCCAGACGGCAAGCTAAGTGTGTACTCTGACAGACTCTGTCCTGACAACCCCAGGAATATTTGGGAAGCATAAAAGGGACCACAGCAAATGGCTTGGAGTGACTTACAGTGGATGTTTCATTGGAAACTAGGAAGGAAGCAACAAGCAAGATCTCTGCAGCACTTAATGTGGCTTTTTCGTTTTGCTGGGATGCATTTCCATCCCTCTGGGTCCCACAGGATCATGCATGGTTGTGGCTTTTTCCAGCAGCAGCAGCAATAACGATCCCATGTAACAGTCCAGCGCCTGTCTTTTGGCACTACTCAGTGTATTTATTTCTGCAAGAGGAGGGCTCCTGCCCAAACTCTGCCTTTGTCCAAATGCTCAGTGATCGGGGGGCTCTGCCGGACAAGAGCAGCCAGAAAGGTCAGGCGGTTCCTCGCGGCCCCGCATTAGCTGGGGCAGAGAACAGAGAAACAGCGCGAGTGCAAGCCCCAGGCACCCACCACGCCGTGGGGAGGCTGCTCCCGGCAGCCAGGGCTGAGCCCTGGGGATTTCGAGGTGGGCAGCTGGCTCTGGCACTTGGAGGATGAGCTAGTGTGTGGGGATGTGAGCTTTTCAGGTGTGAAACGGGAACCAGGTTGTCTCAAAGGCTTGTGAGACTTCACTAAGCTGCCAAACCAGGGTGCGAGCCAGGAATTAGCAGCAGGTCCTCCTCTGCCTCCCCGGCAAGGACTCCCACCTGGTTTCAAGTTCGGTTGGAAACATTTCCCAGTCTCCAGCGAAGTACCTCAACCCATTGCCAGGTCTGCACACATCTGCTCAGCAGATAGGACATTACCTGCCCACCTCACGGAGCAAGCGTGAGACTCGCCGCAGCGGCCGAGCGCACGGCTGCTGGCCAGCGGCTCTTTTAGTGCACCTTAACCAGACCAGAGAAAAGGTGACGCTGCTCGGTGACTTTGGCAGGAGAGTCGCTCGGATCTTCTTCCCTGACCCCGCGGTATGAAGTGTGGGCTTGCTTTGCCTTGCATTGCTCACTGCCAGCTGTGAAAGCTCAGTGTTTATCTCAGCCCCAGTAGTGTCACTCTTGCAGAGCTGCTGCACAGCCTTTCCCCTATTAATACACCCATAATTCACAGGGGGAAAATTTCCTTTAACGCAGTGGTGATATTTAAACCAGGGGAGGTATCAGTATTTTTTTTTTTTTAAATTGTTTTCAGGCATTCAGTTCCTTTGCTCCAGCCTCCGCTCCACATCTGTGACTGCAGCCTTCTCCATCCAGCTGAGAGGGAAATTATGTGTGCAAGAAGAGTCAGGACTCCCTTCCCGGCACATCGCTCACATCGCTAGGACTGCCGCGCCTGCCGCACGCCCAGCCGCATGCTCGAGGATGCTGCACCTGAAAGTCCAGTTTCTGGATGACTCCCAGAAGATCTTTGTAGTTGATGTAAGTGGGTATTGCATTCTTATTGGGTTTTTGTGCTAGTTAATGAAGTTGTGGCAGCTCTGAAGTATTGCATGCTCTCTGATAGCTTCTGTTTTTCAGCTTTAAAAAAACCAACAACAAAAAAAAACAAAGCAAAAAAACCCCAACCTCCCAAAAAAAGGTTGTAGTGCTGATTGATTGCTAAGTGTCTTTCAGCACCAACACACTCCTGCTGTCGCCTCTTATTGGCATTATTTATAAAGAAGGAGGAATGGCTCTTACTCATCTGGTGTCATCTTTTGGAAATCAGGTAATATGAAGTGATGTTCTTGACAAGTAGCGAGTTCTTCTCTCATTTGTCTGGCTGCCAGTATAAGCATTCAACAAGGAAGAAAAGTCTGGGAACAGAATAAAAATAGCATATTTAACCAAATTACTCCTGGTGAGAAACATCTGCATGCATCTCTTCCTGGCCTTTCAGTTGAAAAAGAAAACTGTGTCGTTTTGTGAATAGCTGAGGGAAAAAACTCACTGTATCTTATTTTCTGCATGACAGTGTCCCACAACACAGTCATTAATAATTCACATTTAATAAATGCTAGCTCTGAAATAGGTTTTAAATGTTAAATATTAATATCTATAGTGTTAGATTTTTATATATATGTCTATAGATAACTGAAACTAGATATATCTTGACTATGTCTTAGAAACACATCTTTTTACAAATGTGATTGAGCATTTACTGTTGGTTAGGATTTGATAATCACAGTAGCCAATTGAATTAGCTAATTCAAGTAGATCTGTTCTATCACTTACCTGCATCTCCTATGGGACCAGAGCGTTTAATATAAAATTGTTTTTTTTCAAGTCCTATTACATTTCTTAGACTGTCCTGTCCTCTGGTTTTATAGCATAGCTGAGAACTGCTTGGTCTCCGACGCACTGCTCCATTTCTTTGCGATAGCATTTTGCTCAAAAGAGGACTGTAAAGCAATTCCATCCCTTGGCGCAGTATGGAAGTTGTTTGATTTAGTTTGATTAATGTATCCTAGACCTGGAGTCAGCTTAAAAATGAGACTAGATTTTTTAAAATGCCCTTTTTTTTCGTATTGATTAGATCAGCGCATAGTGAGAGACAGTTTAAAACATACTGGTACAATGTTGCTGCATTTTTTTCCATCTCTGCTTTCTTATTTGCCCAAAACACTTACAGCACTATAGCTCTGCACGACATGTTATTGCAGCAAATAGCTTCCATTAGAGGAACTGGTCATTTCCTTTTTTAGCATGGAACGGTATTGGAAACCCCTTTTAGGCATTTCATGCATTTGATGCTCTATGGGTATGATAAATGCGTCGTTGAATTAGTGACTTCTCCATCATAAAAGGACCGCTTTGGGCTAAGTTTTGAGCAGATATTTCAAGCAACTCTTCCTAAACCTCTCCTGACTTTGGAAAGCTCTTTTGAATGTGTGGCACTTCAGTATAATGGGAGGGAAAAGGACAAAAGAGAGAAAACCTGGTGGGCCTGATTCCCTTTCCGCCTTGCGCTCGGTGTATGAATCTATACCTGCCTCATGTGGGTATCACAGCTGCCAGCACGTGCAGCGAGGTCTCATTTCCACTCCGGCTTTGCACGGGAATGAGTTCTTCTCCCAGTGCTGGGTGCTGGCCCGAGAAGGCTTCTGCCTCCATCCCCATCCTCGCCGACAGCCGGGACCTGGCACCTTCTCTGCGGCCACTGAGCTCCCAGGATTTCCTTTGGCTGGGCGCTGGAGGTGATTCCTGGGATGGCGCCGACAAGCCAAGTCTGAGCCCCCAGGGCGGGGGAAGGCGGGGGCCTGGCACGTCTCCGAATGTCCCCTGTTGTGTCCTCCTTGCTGAACACCCCAGGTTGAGCCATGGCATGGGTGGGATCTTACTGGGATGCTGCCAGCTATGCCAGCGAGCCCTGCACCTTGCCCTGGGAGGGCACCGGGACAGTCACAGGTCAGCCTTTAATGGGTTTCTTGAGAGGAAATATTGCGAAGCTGCCTTCCTTCTTCTTTCCCCCCTGGATTCCTAGAGCTGTGACCTGGCATGTGCTCTTGCCCATGAAGTCACTCCTCTTCTCTCTGGAAAAGGTTAAACAAAGCAGCCCTGATCCCGGGCAGCCTCGGGAGCCTTCCCAGAGCATCACAGAAAGGGCGAACCACTTTGCAGCCTGGGCAAACAAAGCCTGGGCATCTCTGCTAGTGGAATTTGCTACAGGACAAGATTCAGTGGGAAAGAGAAAAAGAAAGAAAAGGCAAACCAAACAAACCCAGAAAACTAATTTCTGGGGCTGAGCAAAGGACAAAGTCTCCTGTGGTCTCATGTCTCTTATGATGAGGAAAGGTGGGAAATCATTGAGAGCTGGCTGCATGTGAGCTGGTCCAGCGAGGGCATGGGGAGCGTTGAGGCTGGTGGCTTTTGGTGCATGTCATTGCATGCCAGCTGTGGCCATACAGAAGACACCGACCAGGGGACATCTCCCAAGGTGGTGAGGAAAGACCACATCAAATCCCACGAGCTGTCTCTCGCCACTAAACCACAGACCTGGCTGCAGCAGCCGTGCTATGGGGATTGCTGCAGAAACGTGGCTTTGCCATTGGAGCACAAGTGCTGCCAGGGTGTGCTTTGGGGACGGGTGTGAGCGTTCCCCTGTGTCACACCCATTGCTGTCTTCCTCTGGATGTGCCTTTTGCTTTCTTACCCTGCTTACAGTCCCAGCTGCTTCCACTGTGGAGAGGAGGGGCGAGCACAGCCTCTCCTTTCCACCGTTTTCCACACAGGGGTTTCTGCCTGTGGGTGCTAATCTGGCCCTGCAACATCATCAAAGGCACATTTAGGGTCGGACGTGGGGTGCCCAGCCCCACATGTCATGCTCCTGCCTCGCGCTGCGCTCCTCCGGCACAGCCCCCTGCTCTTGCCTGATGCAGTCCCGAGCACAACTGTACCCCGGTGCTTGCAGCAGCGCAAGTCGGGGCCTCCGGTACCCCACAAACCCAGGATGGGGCACCTGCAAGCACCACTCTGCAAGAGGAAAGCTTCTGCTTTTAAACCATCCCCTGCATCACAGGGCTGCTTCTCCCCAGTGAGCAGGTTTTCCTGGGGATGGAGCAGCTCATCTCCACTGCCCTGGGCAGTGCTGGGCTTGGAGGAAAGCGGGTCGCTCCCAGCAGACATGTGGTGGGTAATAACCCAGTAAGAAATGCTTGTCTTTCCTGGCTGCCTGACAAAGGCTAAGGCCTTTCATGCTAGAAAATTCTAGCTTGGAAAGAAACATTTAATTGTTTTAATTACGCTTGTGATCTAGTAATTTTGAGGAGAACCGGGAGTGCTGCAGAGCAAATGCTGTTATTACGCTATCACTTTTCAGCAGCCTTTCAGCACAGAGCCAGCAATTTCATCCCAGGAGAAGCCGTGAAAGGTGGTTATTAGTGTGCATCACCGCCAGCAGCCGGGGTCCCTCCCGTCCCTGCTGGGAGCAGCCGCTGGCACGGGGAGCTGCAGCCTGCCTTCACCTCCATCACCCGAAATGCCGTAATTTAGCAGCTGTCTAACCCAGCCTCTCTGCTCCAGCTTGCTTTTGCACTAACCCACGCTCATTTTTGGTCTGCATTGCACGAGTTGATAAAGGAGTAGCAGGGTTTTTGCTGGGGTCACTGCCAGGTTCATTTCTGGTGCTTTCTGGAGCATTTTCCAAAGTCAGGGGCCTGCCGGGTTGTTCCCCAGCCGTGTCACACAGCACGGCAACAAGTCAAGCAAAACACCCTCCAAGTGTTTCTGTTTACCGGGAATAACTACAGCCTGGCCTCCCTTATCAGCATGTAGTGCCACTTAATTAATATTGCTGAAGTGCACGGATGACCCAGGGCCCAAGGCACAGGATCTCCACAGGGTCCTGTTGCTGTTAATTACTATTAACCATAATAGTAGCTTGTCCCCGGCAATCCGGTCACCAGCTGTCGGGGCACACAGGCTCGCAGCGCAGGTTTGAGGTTTGCTCCCGTTTGCTCTTAATCGAGCACATTTGCAAGGCTGTCCCTGGTTCAGGCGGATGCTTGTCCTGGGGATCGCTCACTGGTTTGCCAGGGATAGAGGTGCCCGGACAGTGATGGTTGCAAAAGGTGAGCCAAAAGCAAGATTTCTTTCCTCTTCCTTTCCTTTCTGGTTTACATTCCGTAATAAAGGAGAGAAGTGATGAGAAGGAATCTGATTTCCAAGAGCAGAGATAAGGGGCACACAGCGTGCAGTTGTCCTGTCCCACATGCTCAAGCCAACAGCATTTATTGAGTGAAGTTTTGCTGCAGCATGATCCGGAAAAATCCCACAGCTCCTCTCGGGGTGAAGGCAGGGAGCAAAAACTTCTCCCCCATCTCACTGAAATCCCACCACCGCTGCTGTCGGCGTTGCCTAACCCGCTGCTTCCATGGTGTGTTTGTTTACTAGCAAAAATCCTGCGGAAAAGGGCTGTTCAACCTCACCTGCGGCCACCTCAACCTTGCGGAGAAGGAATACTTTGGGCTGGAGTTTCGCAGCCAGGCTGGGAACCACGTGAGTGTGGCTCGCGGCGCGGGGCCCCGGTGCTGCACCGTGCCGCATCCTCGCAGCGACCACTCGCATGGCTGGGGGCTTGCTAGCACCTCCCTGAAATACCAGATGGAAAATTTCAACAAAAACCCTTGAAAATGGGAGTTACGAGGGGAACCACAAGCTGGTTGGCAAAGCCCCGGTGATAGCCACGGCCATGGGGTTTACCCGTAGCCATCCGTGCGAGGCTGCACAGCGGGACAGCTTGCTGCAGCAGCTGAGCTGGCCAACACTTTTGTGTTGCATTCTAGCATGCTGCTGCTGCTTTTATTCCCTGTCTCTTGTGCCGTTTTTTCACCCAGTTCTTCATTGCCTTATTTCAGGTCTGGTTGGATCCACTAAAACCCATAACAAAGCAAGTCAAAAGTAAGTATTTCAAGAATAAAATTCTTCTAAATCACTGCCAGTGGCCCACTAGCGCAGACACATTCGTGCAGTGTTATTGTTTGGGGACAGGGGCTCTGGATTCCAGCATTTACCTGAGCTCATTTTATAACATGAGGCTGGGCAGAATTGTTTGCAAAGACACCACAGTCCGTATAAAATCCTGTAGAAATACCACTGCCTTTGCAATCTGGTATCTGCACCATTTTAGTCTTGAGCTGTTAATAACCTGACAGCTTGGCGGAGGAGCAGGGGCGGCTGCGTGCGTGCGTGCGTGTGCGCGCACTGCTGTGCTGGCAGAGCGGCAGGCATCGCTCTCCCCATGCCCTCCTTTCCCCTTTGCAGCTCTTAGCAGCCCAGATGCCTGCGTGGCGTGAGCCATGAAGCAGGGTTAGCCGAGTGCCTCGCAGGCTCTGCCGCTCCTCTCCAGCCCCCCGCCCCCGCCATGCCGCTGCACGGAGATGCTGCAGAACCTGACCTGAATTCAGGCTCAGCATCCCCTGCCATAGCCACAACCAATGTTAGCACAGTGCCCCTTTCAGCCTATGCCTATTTCCACCCCCGCGATGAACCAAATGATATTTTCCCCAAATATGTGATGACCAGGAGGTGGTCAAGAGCATGACGCCATGACCCCAGTATTTGCCACAGACAGGGAGGCTGCAGTACAGTGTTTGCATGAATTTCCCTGTAAGGGGAAAGCCTGGTAAAGAGCCTCCCGTTTCTGGGTGCACCAGAAGTGGGATTATTTCAAGCACCGATTTCTTTTTCGATGTCCCTTCTGGCCTGCTCTTGCAGGACCCTGTCGCTCCAGAAGCCCCTGAGCTGTCCCACGGTGTCCTGGGACAGTCAGTGCCTACAAAATTGCCTCCCTCCCTCCATGTTCTTTGCCTTGGGCTTGGCTGCTTGCTCTCACTCATCCCACAAAAAAGCATTACCAAACAACGTCCTATGGAGCTGTTGCATCCCAAGTGCTTGGAGGGCTGGATTTAATGCACAGCCCTGCTGATGGCCACACTCCAGACAAGCACCCGTGGCACCACTCCACGGAAACCCCCTTCCTGGCAGGGGTCTTTGCAATTTAAAGAATTACTGGGGTATTTTCTCTTTAGCATTATTTAGGTGCCCAACTCCCTATTGGCTTCCACTGGTAATGCTGGGGGTCTGGGCAGGCAGGTCGTTTGGGCTTCCAGCCCTGACTTGTAAGGGCCCAGAGTAATTTACTCTGTAAGGAGACAGCATGTGTGAAGAGAGTTGTAAATGTTCTCAATAGACACGTAAAAGAAAACTTATGAAGATGTTGTGTTTTAAGATCCTAAGGAGGTTCTTTTCAAATTTATGGTGAAATTTTTCCCAGTGGACCCCGGCCATCTGAGAGAAGAGCTGACCAGGTACAGTACTTGTTCTATTACTTTCTTACCGCACAGTCCTATATTTTTGTAATTGTGAAGCATGTGTTTAATTCCTTATCTTAATCCACCTGAACCTGTCTGCAAGCAGTGCTTATCCTAAGTATTTAAAGAGTTCTGTACTTTACAAAACAAAAACCGAGGGAGTATCTTTTCTTGATCCTCTGTTTTTAAACAAAATCCACTTGAAGGATCAGCTGTCTTAAGAGGCTGCAATTTGTTTACTGCCAAATGCTTTAGCAGTTGGGCACCAAGTCTGACTTTACTCAGTCTAGCTCCTGCCTCAAGCTGTGTTCTCAAAGAAGAACTTTAATTTTATTTTTAAAAATGACATTGTTAGCTCTTACGTTTTAGAGAAAGCATTGCGAACAGGAACTAAGAATAAAACTAAGACAGTGATTCTGCAGAACATATTAGCCCCGAGAGATGCAAATGCCCTACAAAGCATAAAGGAATGTTAACTCTGAAACCTACTAATGGGCATTTCAATGGCAGGGGCATACTGGTCATGGTGGTGCCCAGCTGCAGCCTTCTGCAGGGGCTGCGTGCTCCTCCCGAGACCCCGCAGACCTGCATCCCTTGGGCTGAAGTGCAGGGATGGGCAAGTGCAGGAAGAGGCGCGGGGGCAGACAGCCCCCCCGCAGCAGAGCCCTCAGGGCTCAGCCCAGCGCCAGGCTCTCTGCTGAGCCCGGCCCCACCTCGGGGCATGTTCCTGTCCCCCTCCACAGGTACCTCTTCACCCTCCAGATCAAGAAGGACCTGGCACTGGGGCAGCTGCCCTGCAGCGACAAGAGCGCGGCGCTGCTTGTCTCCCACCTGCTGCAGTGTAAGGGCAGGCGAGTGCCCGCAGGGACGGTGCCCCTTCCCTGGGGAGGGGGGCCCAACGGGGCTTTGCTTTGGTTGTGTAGCCAGGGGTTCCCCCTGCAGTGACCCCCTCGCAGCCTAACCCTGCTCTCCCCATGTTCCCTGCAGCTGAGCTGGGCGACTTCCACGAGGAGATGGACCAGCAGCACCTGGCTACCCACAGGTACCTGCCCAACCAGGAGTACCTGGACAACAAGATCATGCACTACCACCGGAGACATGGGTAAGGGCTGCTCCGCACCACGGCTGCCCACCCAAAGCACCCGACAGGCACCTGCCAGCGGGGCCATTCCCATCAGCGGGCAGTGATGCACATCAAAATGGCATTTTTTCAGCCCATTTCAGCAGCTGCCTTCTCACTCTTGTTGCTTCCTGGCGTGTTTGTGTCTCCAGCGGGAAGACGCCGGCTGAGTCAGACATTCAGCTGCTGGATGTGGCCAGGAAGCTGGAGATGTACGGGATTCGCCCGCACCCTGCCAGCGACGGCGAGGGGACGCAGATCAACCTGGCCGTGGCACACATGGGGGTGCTGGTCCTGCGGGTGAGCCCGGGGCACGGGGCAGGCTGCCAGCACCCAGGTGGGGTGGCCTTTCCCCAGGGACGTCACCTCTGCTTGGGGGGGACCCTTCTCCTCCCCACTGCATGCTCCAAACCCTCCCAAATCCTACAAGAGGGAGCATGCCCCAGCAGACCTTGGGTGCGGAGGTGATGCTCCGGCACATTGCTGCGGGGCTTGGCCCCACCATCCCCATCTGTGCCAGCTGCTCGCCGCCGTGCCTGCCCCGGCTCTGTTGGCCCTTGTCACAGCGAGCACGGCCGTGTAAGCACCACAGGTTACATGGCTGCGTCACATGTGTTCACCGTATAATCTTCCAGCGAAAATAGCCACCTCACGTCTGTGCAATTACATAATGCTGTAATCACGGCGTAGCTGCAGAATAAAATACAGACTTGCTCACAGCCAGCGTGAAGCAGTGCTTGCCTCCCACACCGGCTAATTTCAACCTAGGAACATCTTGCCAGAGCAGAAAAAAAAGAGAATCCTAACTGTGGGTCTGCTGTTCATAATTAGCACTGCCAGACCCAGTTATTTATTCAGAGCCATAAACACCCCTCACGCATGATTAGAGCATCTGTGAGCCCATTAAAATCTGGGCTCTCCCAGAAAGCTGAAAGGGTCTTGGTGCCACAGCATGGAGAAACACAATTTTACCTGGTCCTGCCATGCCACCAGTGTTGTGTGGCTGCGTCTAGATGCATAATGATAATGAGGGGTAAGGCACGCTTGCAGACTGCTTAAGCTGGGTCTAAAGGTATGGGAGTGAGCTGAGTTCTGCTACGCTTCCCAGCAAAAGAGAGGAGGGTCTTATTTATTTTGGCGGGCTGATGTTGCATTAACTCACCTGACTCATGAGCTGGGATGGATGGGATGCTCTGCCTTCACCTCTGTGAGGTTTGTCTTGGGATCCTGGAGTTTTACAAATAGCTTCAGTGGGCAGAGTTAAACCCTGAATCTCAATTCCCATTTTTGGGACCAACTGATGGAGAGGAGGGTCAGCCACCAAATCCTGGTGCCCCTTCCTCAGACCCCAGCAGCAGTGAGAGCTGCATCGGGGTCTCATGCAATGTCCTGCAAGCTCAGGCCCATCGTACTTCTGCAACTCTGACTTGCCCCGTCCTGCTTTAACTTCTGTGTCTGTCCTTGCAGGGCAATACAAAGATCAACACATTCAACTGGTCCAAAATTCGCAAACTGAGTTTCAAGAGGAAGCATTTTCTCATCAAGCTCCATGCAAACATCTCTGTAAGTACTGTGCTGCAGGCAGCTGCCAGGCTCAGGAACAGGCAGCTGTGGATCAAGGATCAGCCATGCAAAGTCTCCAATTTTGAATAAAATCCTTTTCTGCTGCTCATGGGTGATTCTCCTTCCCCCTCCCCCCCCCTCCCCAAGCATGGCATGTGCCATCCCTGTGTCCACCAGCAGCCCAGGTCCTCTAGGGGGGTCAGGAGGGCAAACGGCAGAGCCTGGCCCCGTGCCCCGACGCTGGCTTGCTTG